GAAAAAACATTTTCTCTTTTTTAAAGGATAAAAATTTTCTCTCACTAGTGACTCATGGATAAGTGGATTCCATCTTAATTTTTCTTTTCTTTTCACTATTTTGTAAATCCTACTTATACTATGATATTACTAGCGGAAGAAAAAATTTCTCTTTTAAAAGAAGAAAATATTTTCCGTTTTATTATTCATAGTAACAGTTCTAATTGTAGTATTTTATTTTTGCCCCATAAAAAAATTTCTGATTTCGCTACAGTCAGAAATACGTGGAAACTGTTGAGATTGTAAGTAAAATAGTATCTCGTTACAATGATGGTCAAGAAAGAAAGTATACTTTATATATTAGGTTATGTTTATCTCATTTTAAATGAGATAAACAACTCTCTTACATAAAAAGGGATTGGGTCCCATCACTCTTTTTTCTCTCTCTTTTTACATGTGGGTCCCACTTATATTTTTATTTCTACAACATGAAATAATTTTTTTTCCTACAACATAAAAAAAATATATCCCTTATATATTACGTTTTTCGGCCACCTTTGACATCTGTTGAGAAACTGTTGACATTATTGGTTACCAGTTCACTATTTGCATCATGACTTCCATTTACGTACACCGAAGTGACCAAACTAAACCTATAACTTATAAGCAAAACTTTAGTCGATATCATCTTCTCATTCTCGTTCCGAATCATATTCTCCAATAATACGCAAAATCCTTTCTTCTATCTAAGGATGAGAAGTCTACGAATTTTACCGGTCCCACCTCTAAAATGGGTGAGGATACACATAAAGAAAAAGAGCTAAAAAAAAAAAGTTTATTTTTAAATTAAAAACTACTTATAAGTTAAAAATTGTTTGAAAATTACATAAAAAATGTAGCTTACAAATTACTTAAAAACACATATTTTAAAAAAATTGTTTCTGTCTATCTTTATCACTCTTCATTAAAAAAAACACACAATTCAAGAAAAAAAATAAGAGTTTAAAAATAGAAGCTTTTAGTGTCTGTTTGGATCCTCTCTTTTTTAAGCTATAAGCTACTTATAAGCATAAGCTAGGCAAAACAAGTTTTGGGAAAAACTCTTATAACGAAAAGCTATTTTTTTATAATGAAGAAAAAAACTCTAGACTAAAAGCTCTTAGGAGGAGCTTTTTTTTAAGCTCTTATTTATTTTTCTTGAATTGTGTGTTTTTTTTTAAATAAAAAGAGATAATTTTCTTGAAATACGTGCTTTTAAGTAATTTTTAAGCTAAAACTTTTATGTAATTTCCAAACAGCTTTTAGTTTCTTTTTTTAATCTCTTTTTTTAAGCTTTAGCTTATAAGTAACTTCTAGCTTAAAAATAAGAGGATCCAAACAGACTCTTAGTTTGCAACTTTTTTCTTCGTTATAAAAAAAGAGCTTTTTTCAAAACCTGTTTAGTCTAACTTATGCTTATAAATAACTTTTAGCTTAAAAATGAGAGGATGATACAAAGAGACACTAATTCTTTTGTCTCTTGCAGCCTAACAGTTTTCACCATTGATATCAAAATACTTCTCGTAAAAATCGAACCCATAACTTCATCAATTATCAGGTCGATTCTGGAGCTATAGTCCACTCGAGCTGCAACTTGGGGTTAATTGGTTAAAACTTTGTAAGTCAATCTTGTTAACTATTTGGCTTCGTCAAGACTCAAGAATCCATGCAGAAGCGTCAACACGACACTCTCCCTCACGCACGCACAAACATACACCAAGTTTGGACATTTTCCAAGGTGGCTTTGCAAGTGGAATACTTATATGTGTGTCATGATATTTGAAGAAACATTCTGTAGAAAGAGCCACACCACAAAGAATGTCGGTCTATAAGCCCTAATCCCCTAAACAGTAAACACAGTCAAGCTCAGACTACAGCTAGGTGTGTGTGTGTGTGTGTGTGAAGGGTTTGCATTTTAAGGGGTTTGGGAGAAAGAGAAGGTGGGTTTTCCTAAGAGAGAAGCGAGAAAGCACGCGAAGTTTTTGGGTTTTGCACAATGCTCTCTTTGGACCAAGAGATTTGTCCTTCTTCCATGAGAGAAGTGTAGTTAGGCTTTACCTATTTGCCTTTGGGTTTTGAGAAAGAGAGGGAGAGAGAAAGTGGGTAGGAAAATCCCAAGAAGAAAAGATACGAACAAAGTGTGCTATGATTATATCTTTATCATTTTCCTACTTTAGTGCTGTGCAAATTTGTGCAAGTGTCATTGCAGTGTGGGAATTGTGAATCTTAATCTAAATATTGCAACCTTGTTGTGTCTTCTCTTTTATCAACTTCTGTTACTGCTTTTGAATATTCTTTCGTATCCATGTTCCCCCTTCATGAAAATGGCAATGCGTACGTTTCCGAGAGAGATATGGGATTGAGGCTTGGGAGAGTTCAGAGCTTGCGTATATACCCCTCTTTATGTGTATCCTCACCCATTTTATAAAGGGATTTGCATTTATTATTTAACATGACATAACAAAGTTTTTTACACACACGATATTTTGTGAGGCTTACACTTTTTGAAAATAAAATAAGATTACTGCACGCAAAACGAATCTCTATAACATTACACAATCACTTTTCCTACAACATAACTCTTATAAAACACTTTTATAAATCAAATATGTACCAATTATATTCTATGGTGCATAGATATCGACACGGGATACGACATAACATTCCAATACATTAGTTTTAAAAAATATTAGATTTCGACGTGACATATTTTGATATTAAATAATATTTTAATTTATGTAGTGTATATTATATTTAACATTCAATAATTTAATAAAAAAATAAAACTAAATTTGTAATACCTATTAATTTTACAAAGAAACATAATATCTCAAATATTTATATTAAACTCAATAAAATGATAATCGTAATTCAATCAATTTAATAGTTAGAACTAAAAATACTATACAACACATGTTGAAGTGTCGAATATGACACTTCAGATTTTTTTAAACGTCATACATAATATGTTATATCTACCACCAATGTCTCTCAGTTTACTGTGCAAGAAAAATCTCTTATAATCACGGTTTCACTCGTAAGTTGGTCCAACACTAGCACATTTTATTTCTGATCTTTAAACATTTGCTCATTTCAGCTTAGCTTTGGGCCCAGAGAAAATTTTATTAGCATTATTTAATAATTGGATAAAGAATTTGGTTTGGACACATCTCTTTATTTCGAAATAGCCCGCGTTTCTAGTTTGTTGCCTTCTTTTCTACCGAGAGACACACAATAAAAAGGATTCGTAAACAATTTGAATGTATAAATCCACATGAATATTAACATCTATTTTAATTGAATGTATAAATCCACATGGATATGAACGACAAAATTTGAATGTATAAAAAATTTATTATCCTTGTGATACTTCCTGATCACTTGAACAGTTGAATTGGAATAATCAAAAAATCGATAAACTGATGAAAAAAAGAAAAACAAGAGCACGCAATAATTTTAAGATATCGTATCTTGAGCACCATTTTAAATCTCCTTTCTTGGTTGGGATGGGGCGGGGATGTAATTGTAGTTTCTCCTTGAGAATCAAAGTCTTCATATTGCAAATGAGATAATAAAGTAAGACAGTGGTGAGGATCATGGCTTCGGTAAGGTTGACCTCGAATTGCTAGAGGGAGAGATAAGGCAGGTCCTAGAACTAATTGTGTGCCAACACTGCTGGATCTTAGGCTGAATCACCAGCCCAAAACATCATAAATGTTCGGTTTTAATTTGGATGATTCTAGTCATTTTTGTTCAACCAGGACTTAAACTAGTAAAAACTCAACCCAATTAAATAATTTTTCAAAAACCAATTGTTATAAATTTCTAGAATGTAAAATTGATTCTAAGGTAGGATTTTGCTGCTTCTTGGATTTATAGAGTTTATTCTAGATGTGGAATTTTAGCATCATTTTAAAAATAATAATAACAAACCTTAGACAATCAATTTTAACAAATGAGACAACAGTTCAAAACAATAATAATAAAAATTGCTTTAAAATGCCCAAAGAAATTCAATTTAAAAATAAACTCTTTCATAATCTAACCGACATATGAACAAAATTTAAATCACAATTGTATACAAAAAAAAAAATTTAAATCACAATGAACAATAATCTAGATTTCTACCTGAAATATTTCATTGGTTAGATCCAAGGCAGGGTACTGAAGGGGCAAAAAACACAAAGAAAAACATAGAGATCTAATAAACAAGTTGAGTTGGCCAAAGCACTGATACTTATTCCAGAAAAGAAAATGCATAGATGTATTCATAGCTAGTTTAGATTTTGGGTGGGCAAGGCATACCGAGTTCAGAGAGAATAAAACTGCAACATGCTAAGAACTTCCTTCCCGTAACCATTCTGCAGTTCATCCAAGAAGTTTTCTAAAGCTAGCTCAAAGGTATTGGGAGTGCCCAAAGCTTTATAAACTTCACATTAGTTGCTCTTCAACCAATGTGGGACTATATATCTCAACACGCCCCCTCACGCAAGAGCCCTCTTGGCTTGAAGCATGGATTATGCAACAAGCCCAATCTTTGGTTTACCTTTTTTGTGCTTCCACTTTAAAGTGGGGGACGGTGAGGCTCTGATACCATGTAAAGAACCTTGGGATACACCACCTCAAAAGCTAGCTCAAAGGGTGGGAGTGCCCAAGGCCTTATAAACTCCACCTTAGTTGCTCTTCAACCAATGTGGGACTATATATCTCAACAACATTCACTTCAAAAAGACTGCTACACCAATGGCATAGGCTTTGGTGCTGCCAATGCGAGCCCATGGCCAAAAAGGTTCATATCTTAAAGCATGCAGAAAGTTCCAATTTCAAATATGTAGTGAAGCATTTGGCTGAATAATATAGATCATATATTGCTGGAGATTTATTTATTTGATGACAAGATGTACAAAATAAATACAACAGAATTATCTTATGTATGTATATGTATGATATACAACATTTAGATATAAAGAAGCATTGTGAAAGTCGAGGCTGCATGTAAGCTTGTAAAAATGACCATGGACTTCACAATGTCCATAAAACCCAACAGGTTCAGTACATCCAAGATAAATCTTGCCTGAAAGACACAGACTTTGCAGCTCCTTGAGCACCTCTTTCAGAAATTTGAGGACAATCTTCAACGGCCAGGAAATCCAACTTGAATGATCCAACAAGTGGCTTTAATCCATCATCTGAGATCCCCAAACACTTGCTTAACCGTAAAATGCACAATCGGGGAAACTGACTCACAAGCTGTAGCCCCTCATCACTAATCTCTTGGCACCTGACAAGTTCAAGAGATTCAAGATATTCTGCCGAGCAAAGAGCTTCCATTCCAACATCATTGAAGGAATACACATGATCAAGAGCAAGCTGCCGAACTGGGCACTTTTGAATTAAGCAAAGTATTCCACTTAGTGTGAATGAGGAGGATGAGGGGAACTCCCCATCAGAAAAAGATATCCTCACTGATTCAAGCTTTGAGCAGTTTTGAGCTAAGGCTTTGAGACTCTCATCTGTTAATCTCAGTGGATTATTCACCAAGGAAGGCAGAGAAAAATCACATGGAACTCTGAATGAAACTGATTGAAGGTCACTTGACCTTTGAGATAAACAAATAATGTCAAAGTCCCTTACCCCAACACACATGTCTAGGTGAATTTTTTCCAAGTTCTTGCACTTCCGCAACACGCAAGCAAGTCCTCTCCCAGGACTGATGATGCAATTTACCAGGCTAAGTTCCAGCATATTTTCACATGGGACATGCTGCTTTTGCCACCTATCCACAGATAGACGATCATAAACTTTCATATATCTGTAATTAGCATCAACCTCAAATTGCAACCTTTTAAGTTTTTGCCAACCAGGGCCAAGCTTAATTAAGTCACCTTCACCAATGGCTCTACAGTTCTTAATGGAGAGTTCCTCAAGTGTTCCAAGCTTGCCAAGGTATTCAAGCCACTCCACACTGCTCACATTAAGGCATCTAATAAGGTGAAGCCTAGAGAGTTTCTTGCAACCGACAACAAGAGACAGAATGCCACAGCCAGTGATTCTTGGGGTGAAATTCAATCTCAAAGATGACAATTTGGAAGAAGAAGCCAAGTAACGAAGACCAACATCAGTGATAAACGTGCAGTAGCTCAAGGCGAGATCAGAGAGTAAAGGGCATTGATTTGCAAGAATAAAAAGTCCCTTATCATCCAACTGTTTTCCTAGCTTTGACATCCAACCAGAGTATGTAATCTCAACTTTGGACAAGTTGAGAAACCTCGTGCATAGACAGGTCAAAGCTTCATCTGCAGGATCCATTCCACATCCAACTTTTAGAGAATGCCTTTGTGCATTATCTAAATGATAAAGCCGTTTACAAGCTATGGAAACAGAGTTTCTGTCACTCGTTTTCTTTATCCTACTCATTATCTCCCACACTATATGCTCTGGTATGTTATCCATCAAGTACACTACAAGTATTCTCCTCTGCAAAAAAAAACAAAAAAACATCAAACATAAAATCCTCATCTCATACTCATAGACACTTACGATGAAACATAAAAAAATTCGATTAATCCAACATAGGACAGGAACCAAACAAGACTTTGTGTGATAACCAACTCGTGTGTTTGTTGCTCTGTCGGTCATCTATTAGCGAAAAGAAGAAACAAAAATAAAAAAACATGTAAATGCAATAAATCAGCCAGATCTAAACCGGAATTTCTAGGTAATGATTCATTTTCTTATAATTGAATTCGACTGGGATTGGAGAAACCATACGCGCAGAAGAACAAATAAGGAAAGCGAAAAATTATACATAAACAAACAGGGTAATTCAATGGTATCAGTATCAGGTGTAGAATTGAATTTGACAAAAGAACCACTTTATTTTCTCGGAAGAATGAAAATTATACAAATGAAACAACTATGCAATGCCATACGAAGAAAGAAGGAAGCGGAATGATGGATCAAATAACCTACCCTGCTCAGAATGCCTGACGAAGGAACAGAAAGAAAAAATGGAAGATATTAGATATCGATCATAAGATGGCTTAGATATTTTTTATTAATTCATCCATGGATCCTTCTTTTGTGACGGCCCAAAACAATACATCCTCCTTTTTTTGCTTTCAAGCCCAATTCAATTTCCAGATAAAGCTTTTCTTTTCTTTCCCCTTGTATATGGCTAGGTTAGGTGTTAGTTTGGTATTTTGGTATGGGCGTGGACACGGGAGTGAAATCTTCATGAATAAGTTTTCAATACAATTTAACCAATGAAATTGATTTGTGAATTGCCCCCGTTTTTTTTTTTTATATAAAGAAAAGGCCTAAGCCCATACAAATGACAGCACAAAACAAAACATAAAAGCTAACTATTACAAGTAGCCTTCCAACAAGAAGCCACATCAGTTATCAGTAAGAGGTGGATGTCGGGGGGAGAATCCCCCACACCCAATGATCTTCATGCTCTTCATTGTCAAGGATATAATTTGCTAACCAATTCACACAAGAATTTCTTTCCCTTAGAGTATGCTGGAAAGCCACAAATCATTCCCTATTGATCCATGTCCGGATGCGAGAGATCAAGTGATTCTCATGAACTGTTGCACCTCTTCTGGTGAGCACAATGATCACGCTTGCTGAGTCACTTTCTATAATCACATTTAGATGACCCTCACTTCAGGCCATCTCCATACCCCTTAGCACTCCCCACAATTCAGCCTTGAAAGAGGTACAACTCCCCAACTTATATGCAAAACCTCTAAGTAATGTGCCATTCGCATCCCGCAGCACAAATCCACAAGCTGCCGACTCAGGATTACCAAGCGTCGCCCCATTCATGTTCACCTTTATGACACAAACATTTGGGAACTTCCAAGTCATATCCCGTCATAGACAAAATGCCAACACTTGAACTTAGATGATTGTAAGCTGCCTCATCCACCTCACCAGCTAGTTTGCGAATTAAACTCTCCCTGATGCTATCAGGGATCGAAACAACCCCATGGAGAGTCTCATTCCGCCACTACTAAATTTTTCAGCATGTTACAAAAAATGTAGAGAACCACTTAGCCTCTAAACTGTTGGGTATGGCTCATACTTCGCATGTTGATGATGATCCTAGTTGTCGGGGTCAGCAGAAAGGCAACTGGGGTCCCGCTCCCAGGTGAGCGGGCGGAGGTCCGGGGGGCAGCGCCCCCAGGCCCGTAGAGGCTAGGTACTATTGTGGGCCTTTGCTTTATTGTAATTTTCTTAGCAGTTTGGGCTTGGGCCCATGAATAGCTGTTGTTAGGGTTTTCTCTTGTAAACCGAGTGACTTGTAACGAGTGACGGTGAGGTGAATATAGTACAGACAAGCTGGACGTAGCCTAAATTAGGTGAACCAGGGTAAATCGTTGTGTCTATTCTCTCTCGCTCTTTTCTTTTTCGTTTTCGATTTATGTGTGGTCGATTTCCACCATAAACAACCACCACCAATTTTGGCAAAGTTCCACGCTATCCAATGTTCCAAGTCACCAAGGAAGAAATCAGCAACTTAACAGTTGGCACAATTTGAAGCCATAGAGACTTCACTGCATGGCTATCCCTAAGGGCATGTATAGTGGTCTCTCTCTTAATCTTACACATTGGACACAAATCATTTCTAACACCCGATAAGGTTGTTCTACATTTCGTTAAGAGTTTATAAAGCATCACTTTCCACATAGTAATTTTAATCTTTTGTGGGCCTTTCCATCTCCACAGATCAAGCCAAAGGTTACTCACAGCTACTCCTACGTCAGATTGCACTATAAGAGCATCATAAATGGACTTAACTGAGATTAGATTATCACCCTTCAAGAATCATGATTTCCTGTCAAGTTCATCAAACTCGCAAGATGTTTATGACCTCAACAGGGAGCAAGTCGTCCTTCAGATATTCAAAGTCTCATTCACCATTAGGTGTAATAATCTCTGACACTTTTGTACCTAAGTTGATTATGGACTCCTTACTAGTAAGGCGCTCTTGCAAGGAGAAAGAATTAGAGAGCCACTTATATTGCCAGAAGTTGATTTGCTTACCATCACCAAGCTCCCAAGTTAAGCAGTCCCTCCATGTCCTTCCATACTCTGCACATGTTCTTCCAGAGATTCGAGTCACTTGCACGCACCACAAAAGAGCCATAATTATGTCTATTTGACTCGTATTTGGCCTGAAGCACCTGCACCCGCAACTGGTTAGGTTCCGTGGCATACTTCCAAGCTTTCTTTGCTAAAAAAGCATCATTCATCAATTCTATTCTTTTCACCCCCAGACTGCCTATAGGCTTCGGTAGTGTGACAATGTTCCAATTAATGAGACGATGGGTTTTTCTTTTGTCTTTATCTCCCCCATGTAAAATTTTTCTGAATCCTTTCTATCTCCATGCAAACTGATAAGGGCATCTTACAGCTTTGCATTTGAAATAAGGGAATAAACGCCATGACAAATTATGCCAAGGTAATATAACCTGTGTGGGACAAGCATTGTTGCTGTCAGGAATTAAGTTTATCTCTAATATTCCCCTCAATACATGCATATAGGTCTCTAGTCACTCTCCCTTATTACATCCTTTATCCTAAGTAACGACCCACATTCTTCACGTGCTTAAATCCACTCTTTTGAACAATTTTACCCATCATTTCTTTGCTTGTGTTTTTCGAAAAGAATACATTCATTTTCTCCACACTTAATTTCTCTCCTGAAGCTTCTTCAAACAAGTTAAGACAGTTTAATAGAGTGTCAAGTTGGTCTACACTAGCTTCCATGAAGATCATTAGGTCAACAACAAATGCAAGATGGAAAATATGAGGACCACCCTTACCAACTCGAATTGGTTCCCATATGCCCCACTTGTAGCAGTGTTGATGATGTGAGACAACTTTTTCATTGCAATCACAAACAAATATGGCAAAAACAGGTCACCCTGACATCAGAAAGAAGATTTGGAAGATAATAGATATTTTTTTAATTCGTCCATGGATCCTTCTTTTATGACGGCCCAAAACAATACATCCTCCTTTTTTTGCTTTCAAGCCCAAGCCCAAGCCCAAGCCCAATTCAATTTCCACATAAAACTTTTCTTTTCTTTCCTCCTTTTATATTGCTAGGTGTTAGTTTGGTATGGGCGTGGACATGGGAATGAAAGATTCATGAATAAGTTTTCAATACAATTTAACCAATGAAATTGATTTGTGAATCTTTCACCGCCCCCGTTTTTACTCCTACAAAGCCCCTAAATAAATAACTAGTCCATTTCATCTATTATTGGTACAAGAGAAATTTTTTTGTGTCCGGAAATCATGATTTCCAGTAATATAAAAAGAAATCCAATTTACCGAAAATGATATAAAAAAAATTGTTTGGTAGACATAAATATTACCGGAAATATTTAATAATTTTACTGAGTATATGTTTGATTGTTAGTAAAATATTATCGGTAATATATGATGATTTTACAAAATTAACCTTAACTTTTCAAAACATATTCTTCAACGGGTATTGATGTGTGTTGGGAGTATTGTTGTCTAAAAAATATGTTGATCTGCTTTCCCTCCCCCAGTAATTATGAAAACCGCCTAATTTTTTGTAATCCCAACAGTAACTTTTCTTTGCAAAATGCTTTACCGGTAAACCTTAGATATCCGGGAATTGATTTTTGATACTTATACCAAACATGGTGTTATGGAATATTTCCATATCCTAACCACCTACCCAAGGATTCCTTAAAGGATAATTCTCCAATTATTCTAACAATATAAAACAGTAAGGCAGCTAAGGATAGAGTTCCTATCCCAACAGAAATGAAGTTGAATCCTACTACCACTGGGAGATCTACACAAGCCCAAGAGGTAACCCTTATAAATAAGAGTTTAAAAATCACAGGTACACAGTCTGAACTCATTTACTACTTCTGCTCACACTGTGCACACACCCACGTCTCGGCTTTATGCCTATTGCTTGTGTGCAGTGATGAGGATATTTGCTATAAGCCAACCAAGATACCTATCTATAGGATATCTCTGAGCGCATACTCTTGAGGTATCATTATACGATTTAATAAAACCGAACACATGGTAATTGACATTTACCAAAAAAGATTTATCAGTAATCCTTGTGATATCCTTCTACCAAACACTCCCTTAGAGAATTCTAATGTCAATGTACTGCTTAAATGGAGTTGCTTCGCAAATGATCAAGAGTTTAATTGAATTTATTCTTAAATGTAAAAAAAAATTACGTTATTGTCAAGTAATATGCTTTTCTTTATTTATTTTTTAGCAAGTATTTTCTAACATATCTTCCAAGACTAGTCCAAAATAAGTTATAGGAAGTTTTTCGCTCGGGAGATCTGTTGGACCTCCAAGCGGTCCCTTTCAATGAACAAGTCCAAGAAAAACAAATCAAGCCTGAAGAAAGGCCTATATACCACGTTGGACTGTGGTATGTTATGTGCTTTTTAAAATATATGACCGATTCTGTTATTGTGTGTGATTTAATCATTGTTTTTAAGGTTGTAGAAGATAAAAAAAAAATGTTGATATATAAGAAAAGACTAAAACACGTATCACCTAACACAATTATACATCCCTCACTACTAGGTTAATCCTAGTGACTTTAATTTTATCTCTTATATATACATAAAAATATATAGAGTTCATATTTTTTTTTTCTCTCTTCTCTTCACATGATCCCACACAAATGAGATTATTATTTTTTATATTGTAGATGATAATTTTATCTTCTATACATATATAAAAATGTGTGGGACTTATGTGACGATAACAGAAAAATATAGATTCCATATACTTTTAATTTTATATATATGTAAGAACTAAAATTTATCTCATATCAGAGAAATATTAATCTCGTTAAAAATATATACCCGCTCCACGAATTGAGGGTGCATTTAAAATACTTATGTGGTTTTGGCTCTAACTCTTCATTTACCCTTTTGAAAGTTACCATTCATTTGTACGATATCGAGGTCAGGAATGCCAAATTATTTCTAAAGGATGGCTTCGAACTAGTAGCCTTAGGGTGCATTTAAAATATTTTTATGATTGTTACCAAAAAAAAAATGATTATTTAGTAAAAAATATATTTTTATGATATATTCTTTTTTTAAAAAAAATCTTTTCAAATATAATAAAAGTACGAAAATAAATTTTCTAAATTTTTAAAAATATTTATACATATATCATAAAATGTTTAAAATTTTTATCCATATCAAAATAATTATCACTTTAAAATTTTTAAATTGTTTATTATTTTTTAACAAAAAATTTAGAATATATTAAATTTTTTTCTAATTTCATCTTTATAATTATTATCTCCACTAAATAAAATGAGAAAGAGCATTTATAGAGTAAAAGGATATTTTAGTTTAACGTAGTTATATTTTTCTAATTTTTTTTCAAAAATGATTTTATTATTCTTGTTTAAAACATATTAAATAATAATTTTTAGAACAACTTTTTTTAACTAAAAATATTTTTCCCTAGAAAATAAAAATAAAAATCAGGCTCTTAGCTCCACTAACTTATCCTTTCAATGGAGTTAAATAAGTAGGTATTGGAATACAAAATAAAAATAAAAAAATTAAGTAGGTATTGGCATTTATTTCATTCTGGATTTAACCGACAACCCTATGCCTTCTTTTCTCTTTCACATAATTAGGCACGATATGGGCCTATTTATTTTTGTGAGTATGATACACAACAAGCATTTTGTTGGGTGCTGATTATTTTAATAAAATAAAATAATTAAAATTTTAATAAATATTGAGAGACCTTATCCGAATATCATAATGAAGAATAAATTCAATTGATGCATCGCAAATTCAGTACATATGCTATTTATTTTATATTACGTTAACAAAAAATATCATATCATCTGGTCAGTTATCATTTAATTTTTTTCTTTTTTCAAATAATGTGATATTTTTATTTATATTATAAAATAATTGACAAATGAACTAAATCTTCTATACATCTTGCACTAAAGATTTATTTCATAATGAGAGACCTTCTATATTTCAACTTCAAAGCGAGCTCTACATCTCTTTCAATAGCTTAGCAGCGCGTGGACAAAACCCATGGTTCATGAAATCCATGATATGTACAAAACTATGTATGCTCAAGTAAGAGTTATATTCCAACTTCCCATTGCTACTATATATAGTAAGTCAATGGCACCCTTTGGTTCAATTCTATCAATATCATCCGAATTACATAAAATAAATTAAGTAGGGTATGATTTTTTCCTGTTGGTCGAAAAAAACAAACCTCCTGCAGAGATATTAAAAAACGTGCTAGTTTTATTTTTATTTTTTTCAAAGTGGTGGGACATATAGCATTTTTATGTTCTGTTACATGAAAATCAATTACCCCCAAATTAAAACCACACAATTACATATAGAAGTCGCTTTTCAGTTGTTTTCTTTTGGGCTTAGGCCTCTCTATTGTATTAAAAAAAATAAAATCGTTTTTCAGTTGGGGTCGGAACTGGTTTCCAAAGTCGTTTATCTGACAACGTGCATTGATTTTTTGATAAACACGCGTTACCACAGAAAAAAATATATGTACTCGTAGTCGTAATTTAATGTAAAGATTATGTTGTCTGATTGGTTAATGTCACTTATTTATCAACTGTCAGTACAGTCGTCCCCACTTCGAGATCATTTTCTGTACAACGAAATAGGTATTCCCTCTCCCCTAAGGCAGTGAGAGTGAAGGATGTATGGATAACCCCTTTGAGCGGTTGGTGGAAATTGAATATCGACGGGGCTGTGGAGAATCTCATCAACAAAGCTACATGTGGATAGGGGTGATAAACGAACTAACAATCTTTTAGGGATCTTTGACTTGGCTCGTAAAGATCTGAGCTTGAACTTGTTGTATAAGAGCTCGTTTAATAAAAAGGTCTTAGGCTCATTTTTATTTTTATTTTTATTTTTTATACTATTTATAATAGCTCTCTTTCTCCAATCCATTTCACTCCATTCTATTGGTTAAATAGAATTTTTGAATGATTTTGTTTTATATTATGTTGTTTGGATATACATTGAATTTATGAATATCTATAGAATTACTAGTCCTGTTGATTGTATATTCTGTTTGGATAAATTTTGTTGTCTTATTTTTTTTAGAGTAAATACATTTTTCGATCCTTAGCAAATTTTACAATACCCGCTTTAGTCCCTAGCAAATAAAAAGACTATTCGTGGGCCTTAAAAAATTCAAAGTGGACCCATTTTAGTCCTTTTGAGGGACTAATGTGGGTCTTTTTTGAATTTGTGAAAGATCACGATTTCAACTAAATGGGTCCATTTTGAATTTCTTAGGGTCCACAATAGCCTTTTTATTTGCTAGGGACTAAAGCAAGCATTATGAAATTTGCTGAAGACCAAAAATGGTATTTACTTTTTTTAAACAGGCTAAATCGGGTTTTTTTTTTTTTTTTTTGTAAATAAGTCAAGTCACATGCCGATAATTATATTAATTATATTCATAACAGGTAACAAGCTTGGTCAGTCTAACACATTTAAACACAAGCTTAGCCTTTTAATACCAAAGCTCGGCTCGACTCGGCCCGTTAACACCTACTTGTGGGGGACTCATTAGCAGAGCCAGCAAAACGGACTCGGCTCGGCGGGTCAACCCGCCCAACCCGCCAAACGAGACGGGGCGAGCTGAGTTTTACAACCCATCTCAAAAGCGGGGCGGGGCAGACTCATTTTTTGGCAGGTTGATGGCAGGCATAGGCGGGTCAGTGTAAAACAGGCTCGGGCTGGCGGGCCAACCCGCCAAACGGGACGGGGCGGGCTGAGTTTTTCAACCCACTTTCAAAAGCGGGACGGGACGGGCTGACTAATTTTTTGGCGGGTTAATGGCAGGGTGGGCCGGGCCGCCCACTTTGCCACCTCTACTCGTTAGAGATGAAAAGGGTAACTGGGTGAGAGGTTTCACTTACAGAATTAGGGTGTACACTCCTCTAATAGCAGAGCTTTGGGCAATTCTTAAGGGGTTGAAAATGGTCTGGGACTGTGGGGCTAGGAAACTGATAGTTGAAGGAGATTCTTCTCTAGCTATGGGAGCGATAGCAGAGGGAGATGACAATGGGAACATCGCTCAGCTCGTAAAGAGTATTATGGAATGGTCCAAACTGAATGGAGAGATTAATTTCAATACAGTTAGAAGAGATGCGAATAGGATGTGCGGAGTTTTTAGCACATTTCCATTGTAATATTGATGATCTTTTGTCTATTCATCAAGTTCCCCCTGCTAATCTTGAGTGGATGCTGGCTCAAGAGATGGGATCTGTAAGTAGTTAGTTTTTTTTTTTTTGTGTTTTGGGCATCTGCCCCTTCTTTTACTAAAAAATAATAGGTATTCCCTGCTACAGAAAACAAGAAAATAAATATAAAAATAAAGATAATATAATTAAGTTACTTTTTGTCATATTTTATAAAAAAAAATTATATAACAACTGGTCTATATACTTATAGCATTAGAAAATATTTTTCACTTTTCACACGTAGTATTTTACTCATGTTTTTTTATATATAAAATTAAGAATTAATATAATATATGGTATTTATAATTTCTTTTTCTATTTTTTATATAACTTAATATGAACGCCTCGTACTTTTATATATATATATATAAAATAATTTTTTTTTCCTAAACTTGAGAAACATTAATCTCAATATTAAATACAACACGCCGAGCCCATGCAAAGGGTTTGGTTAAGATATGCCAGATTCCACCAAGTATACAAATGGAACCCAACCATATGTTTCAAGGGTCCTGGATATGTAACTGCTCAAGACATCATTTTACCACCTTCTGTAGAACTCGTTGATAAAAATCATGATTCTCAAGAATATATTAAGAAAGCTATTTTACCGAGAATGTTAAAAAAAAAATTATTTGTTAGGTCAAAATATTACCGGAATTTTATCAGAAAAAAGTGAAAAATTTACCCAATGTGTGGAATTCCAAGAATATCACTAAAAAGGAATACCACTTCTTTGATAATATTCTTGAATAGCATTTTGAAAAAAAAAATTGTAAATAAAACAAAATTTTGGAAAAATCATATTCCCAAAAAAAAATTCAAAATTTTTATATCAAATGTGGATAAAGAAAATTATCACTATCATTTTCGTAAAAACCTCACAAAATTTCTCATATCAAACAACCCCCAAAGAGAAATAAGTACAATTACAGAATTACTACTACTACAAAATGGTAGTACTGTACAAGTGAAAAACGTGTTTTAATATTGTAAAATAATTTTTTTATATTGTAGGAAAAAAATTATAAAATGTAGTAAAAATAAAATTACAAATGAATAAGAGAAAAGAGAAAAAATAGAGGTAAAATTCATCCCATATTTATCTATGGGTTATACATGTATAATGTTACATGAAAAACACTATTTGATCATGCACTAACATAAAAGAAGAGAGAGAAAATGAGTTGAGAAAAGAGAAAATAAAAAATTGTGGATCTCACATCTGTTTGTTTGTGTAGGAAAACAAGCTTTCATCTTGTTACATAATAGATACATTTCCCCTTATCTATACTAAAAATGTGTTTCTTATGCAAAATAAAAGAGATAAATATAAGACTTTAATACATGTAGACATGCTTCACTTGAAAAGGAAGTCTTTTCCAGCTCTGTAAAGTTAAGCAACTTTTGGTTTTTGGACTGAACCCAGCGCACGCATTAGACAGTATCGGATTCATGAAAAAAATTATTAACTAGTCACGTTACGACAAATAATAACCGCATGATCCATAATTATCCAAGCAACTAGGATTGAAGTTCAGCGTAGATGATTTGCCTCTAACTGAATAATAAATAGTTATTTACCAAAAAAACACACTGATGAGATAATACAGGACCAGGAGGGCCCAGGGAATAATGTCAATTATCCACATTTGTTTCCTCTCTTAAATTCCTCCAAATGATTTGCACTTCGTACATGAGGAAGTAGTTGAAGAAATAAAAGTTGCATTCCCATTGAGTCTTTAATTTGTTTTTTTTTTTCTTTATCTTCCATTCATTCCTCCATATCCCCCCAAACACAAACAATTGAAGCGTCTTCTTTGCTTGTGTTGTGCCTGAAATCCGAAAACAATGGAGTGGCCATGGCACAGCTTGTTCTCTGATGAGGTAACTAAAATTATTAATTAATGTCACGCTCACCCAACGTTAAGTTATATGATAAGCGTCGTTTCAACCCAAAATCTTAAAATATTAGGTGATACTAAATTAATTATTTTATACCTGTAACTATGTATGAATTGTTATAGGAAATCGAAGATGGTGATTACTTCAACCATCGCCACAACAACCCAGTGGACGATGGAGAATCTGTTCTTCTGCAACACTCTGCTTTCTACTCTGAGATCCAAAGTGAGACAACCTTTGACGACCACACAGGATTCCTCAACAACGTCAAGAGTAGCAAACTTTTGACAAAGAGCGACATCTCCAACTCTATTGCGTCCCAAAATTCGAAGGAGAAATCTGCCACCTCCCCACCGTCCTATATTCTGTCTTTCTGTGACTCCACCGTGGTAGCAGCTACCCGCGACGGAGCTTACGGCGGAAAGCACCCCAACCGTGAGCAAACACGCAGTGGGCGCGTGAGTTCCTTAAAAGGGGCCAATCAAATAAAAATGAAGCCTAGAAAATCTTCGGAGTCTCTGGATCACATCATGGCAGAGAGAAAAAGGAGACAGGAACTGACCCAGAGATTCATAGCACTTTCAGCCATTATTCCTGGCTTGAAGAAGGTCAGTCATTTATTGCTTTGCACTTTTGAATTTTGGATTTCTATTTCACGTGTTGGAAATTCACACATCGAAAATAGAAAAGAGTAAGAAAAGAGAAATTGAACAAAGTGATTTACCTTGTTTCAAGAAGAATTTTGATGGTCCCAACCACATTTTTTCACTAATTTGTACTAATCAAAATCACATAACTATTGAGAAGAGAGGAGAAATAAAAAAAAAAAGAAGAAATTGTTCAAGCATCACACCCGTGGACGAAAGGATCACATGGGATCTGGAGCACTAAGTTCGTACTTAATGTAGGTTACATTTCTCCGTTTCACTCTTAATGTAGATTATGTTTGTCCGTACTATACTCGTCTCACGGACACTTACAAGTAACTTAATTTAGAAGAAGAATATAAATAAGATTAAGAAAATCTTAACAACAATTATTCATGGGTTCAAGCTCAATTTACTAAGAATCATACCCAACACTTCAACCCTAAGTTTGATTATCCAATTGTTAACTTTTAAGTTTCTTTTTATAATTGTCTAATTTGAAGTTTGAGAATGAAATGGTTCTTACAAGTCACTTAATTTAAAAGAGGAATATAAATAAGATTAAAAAAATTCTAATAATAATTATTCATGGGTTCAAGCTCAATCTACTAAGAACCATACCCAACACTTCACCCTTAAGTTTGATTATCCAATTGTTAACTTTTAAGTTTTTTTTTTGTAATTGTTTAATTTGAAGTTTGAGAATGAAATGGTTTATGATGTCTAGATTGACAAGGCCTCAATACTTAAGGAAACAGTCACTTATGTGAAACAACTTCAAAATCGAGTAAAAGAGTTGGAGGAACAAAGCTCCAAGAAGATCGTAGAGTCAATATCGTTCATCAATAAAGCCAATTTCTACATTGAGGAAGGGACTGCCTCTGATGATTCCCACAAATTCAATGTAGCACTCCCTGAACTCGAAGCAAGAGTCTTGGAAAAGGAAGTACTCATCCGAATCCACTGCGAGAAAAACAAAGGCGTTTTGCTCAAAATATTGACCCATATTAAAAATCTTGATCTCTCCATTGTAAGCACTAGTGTCTTACCATTTGGGAACTTCGCCCATGACGTTACCATTATTGCTCAGGTACTCAACAATATATCTTTGAAGGAGTATATAGATTAAGATTATTCCAATTCATGTCCGTTATCAATGAAGAATTATGATTTGTGATCACCCTATTAGTATTTTATTCATACTCATTAGTTATACACGTGAATATATGAGGATTGAGGAACACTAATATAACTTTGAAAATTGCTATACCTATGGTGCAGATGGGTGAGAAATACAACGTAACTGTGAAGGATCTAGTGAAAAGCCTCGGAGTGGCTCTCTTGGAGTCCACCTGACATACAACAGTGATCCATGCGAGAGTGTCAAAAACGAGTGCACTAGTTTTTTGTTTTTTAAGGATTTGGAAGTTTTTGATTGGCATTACACTCTCTTACATGAATTCCTTCTTGCCCTTCATTGCGACATCCTAGTCTTGCATGAATCAATGAGTTAAAGAAGTAAAATTTATTTTATTTTGTGTCCAAATCACCTTTTCTAATTTCAAAAATGAAAATTTTGAATAAATATAACCGTTATAAGAAATGAACAAAGCAAAATCCAAATGTTTTGGAAGTTATAAATATTATATTTAAAATAATAGTAAGGATATTCTAACTACCAAAAATTCTTACTACCTATCACATCACCATTGGATCAAAGAGAGAGAATGTTAAAAAGTTTTTGAAGAGAGAGAAAATGTTAATCTAATGGTGATTAAATATGTAGTAAGTTGGTAGTGGAAATTTTTGGTAGTGAAAATATCTCTTCTCAAATAATAAATATTCGTTTGCTACAGTGACAGTAGTATTAATGTGTAATTGAAGCTTGTATGTTTCTTGGTGCGCAAGAAATTGAAGGAGTAGGAAAAGGTGATGCAAAGATTATGCTGCATGTATAGAAGACAATTAAATCACATTGTGTAATTGCATGAGCGAACTGGATATTGTTTATTCAAACCTGTAATGCCCTGATGGCATTTTTATTTCTTGTTCTTTCTATACAAGGAGCTGCTTTCTTGATCAAAATATTTTTACCAGACAATTTAGCAAGTCAATTGCTACTATGAAAACTGAAATGTGTCTTAATAAATATGTAGCATGATCTTGAAGTGAATGCAGGCTTTTACGAGAAGATTTAGAAAGCTCGAGGAGTTGATGAGGTGAATGCCAGGCTTTTAAAAGAAGTTTTAGAAAGATGTTGAAGCCTCAATTTGCAGTTCTAATTGACCCTGCTTCCCACCCTTTTATGATGGCGAAAGCGTGTAGAAAATATAGCTAAATAGAAAATTAGAATTTTCATAAAAGAGTAATCATTTGATTCTCAATTTCTAATTATTAAAATAACCAAATTCAACTACTACAACAAGAGAGTCTTAAGCACTCTTTAATACACTAATTACAAATTGATTCAAAATTCAAAATCTAAAATCATAGAAGTAAGAAAAATTCCTAAAATAAATACGATGATAATTAACTTCTAAAAATAAAATAATTACAATTAAATCATTCAAAACACATCCCAAATATTAGATTTCAAATCATGCAAAATGTGGTGCTTTTTTTTCTTGCCAAAAAAATCACAATCATATCTGCTGCTTCATTCGCACTTAGATTTGATCGAAACTTATTATATTTCAAATTATTTTTTCTTTTAACAATTGAGTCATACTTATTGGACGACAATTTTAGTTGATTTTGGGCTTCTTGAATCAATGATTGGGTCATGTGTAATGAGCAAACTGCAAGTGCATCATTTTGTTTCCTGTATGAAGGGGGTTGATAATGTATTTATGGCTATGGATGTAAATAGGGTAGGCTAGATTTTGTCATAAATATCGTAAGCCTGTGTAAAATACCTTAATCTCGACCTGACCTGTTAGCCTTGTGTAGGCATGAATTTTAAGTCTGATCTTACCTATATTTAAAAAACAAAAGTCTTGACCTAGACTTTTTAGCCTGTTTAAGCCTATTAAATATTCAATAATCAAAAAAATAATTAAATTAATATTATTTTATGATTAAAATAATAATTTTATTTATTTTATTTAAAATAAATAATATGATATAGGCCTAATATTTAATAAAAAAACCTGCAACCTATTTTTTTAAAGCCTAAACCTGTTCTTTTTGACTATATGTAATCGGCCAAACCTGACTTGATATAGGTTAGGTCGCAGGCCCCTGTAGGCCGACTTAACCGATTTACACCCCTATTTATAGCACACCAAATCATTCTCACAAACAGTAACATTTAAGGGTATTTTTGTCTTTCAGCTTGTGTTATCAAAATGTTGTTCCATGTTGATACGTGTTATTACATTTGTTTCAGTTATTTTTTTTATTTTTTGTATAAACCATAGTCCAAGGGTATCGGGGGGCAATCCCGTTCGAGCAGAGAATATCCATATCATGATATGGTTATATTTTTGAAAAGGGTTTTTTTATATCACAAGGACTTGAACCCAAGACCTTTCTATTTTCATTCATATATAATATGTCTCTCTTTTCGAAACCCGAAATATGACATGTCGACCTTGCTATTTTTCAGTTCTCCTCTTTTCTTTAATCTCTGTGTGTTGTGCAAGCTCATCCCTAGGAGAAAAACTTTGGCGCATCGGAACACCGAACTCGGTGTTCCTTTTTACTAAAAAGAAAATAAAATTAGTACTTAAAGGGAAGTATAAAAACAAGCTTGGGTGAAAAGGAATTTTTTTTTCCTTTTCAGTAGAATGGAGCACTAAAATCGATGCTCCTAGTATACCAAAGCTTTTCTCCGTCTCTAGGAGCTGGGTGGTGGTTTGAGAGAAAAAATGTTCTTCGGTGGTGGCTTCTTGAAGGCATCAAGAAGCTCAAAAGCAGTGTTGCAGACAAGTGGAGGTTCTGGTACTATCAATGTGCATATTTGTCGTTATATTTGTTGTTTGTAGTCTGTATGTGATATTATTGGCTGTGTTAGGGTTCTTGATTTGATTGTGTAATAATTTGGGGGGTTTAGGGTTTGCTTTGGGTGTTTTAAAGCTTAGCTGAATATTTTGTATCTTATATTATTGTTTTTCATATTGCAAGCACAAGGAATGGATTCCCATAGTGACCTTGTGGATGTAGGAATCTTGGTTTAACATCCAAGTTCTGATTACTATTTTTTTATGTTAAGTTGAATTTTTTTTCTCTTGTTTATATTCTTTTATTTTTTAATGCATTTAAAAATTTATTTTAAAAAAAAAAAATTGAGGCCACTGCCTTGGAACCCCTACAACTAATGTGCAGACATAAATAAAATTTTTTAGGTCTGTCACTGCTCATAGGTCTGCCTATGTTTCTCCAACACTCTCTGAGAGCCAATATTTTCCACATCAACTAGAGCTTCAAGCCTCTCTAAATCAACACTATTTGATTTGGGTCCTTATATTTCTAAGGGAAAAGTTCACCAATGTCCCTGTGATTTATTTCAGAATCACTTATGTCCCGCTGATTTTTTTTGTATCACATATGCCCTTGTGGTTTGCAAAAGGGTATATTTTTTATCACATATGCCCCTGTGATTTTTTATTTTTTATAAAGCACAAGGGCATATGCGATAAAAAAAAATCACAGGAGCATAGGTGATTCTGAAGCAAAACACAGGGGTATTGATGAACTTTTTCCTATTTCTAATTTGAGTACAAAAGTATTTACTACAGGAGCGGTGAAAATTTACGCTATACATATTTGGGCAAACACTTTTCTACAAGCAGATAGAACAAAAGGTCCATCACAAAACCATAAAAAAAAGAAAAGAAACCATTATATCATTGAAACATAAACTTGCAAAACTAAATAAAACATTTCAGGTATCTTTTTTTTAATTTCAGCGGGTAAAAGCATAGATAGCCGTGGAAATATAAACCAGAAGACCGAAAAGCAGTTGTAACCAAGACAAGCAACATGAGTAACAGATTTACTACCACATGACAACATCCCAAGCGAATCTCAATAACATTAACTATAGAAAGCATCAAGAAAATGAAACTTAAGATAGATCAAATGACGGATCCCAACATTCCAAACCTAAGAGCCTTGATATTGATGTGTGCCCTAAAAGTCTCATCCATGTCCTTGCCGTTAAGCAAGTTGAGCGCGAGCCTCAGTGGCGTAGCCACAGCCAAACCAGTAGGTGCCAAGGCACCTGCTTGTTTTTTTACTTATTATATAATTAATTTATAATTAACTAAGATAAAAGTTATAATTTGGCAACACCTAAATAAAAAATCAAATCATTATATATACTAAGGGAATAAACCTCAATGGAAAGTTTCATGATGTGTCACACCCTCATTCAATTTCACCAATGTGTTCACACTTGAGAGATGTTTAAAAATTTTCTTCTTTTGGTATTTTTCTTAAATAAAAAATAAATATTAATTATAATAAAATATTAATTTTTCTTATCTTAGTGGGGTCAAGCTTAATTAAATTTCCACATCTTTATACATTGGTAATTGTTATGTGCATTGAATATTTTAATTTGAAATCAAATAAGTTCAGAGACTTTTCAAGTCCATTTTGGAAGTTGTGTATATATAATGATGATGTGTGTTACTTGATGCTTTCCTTTGGTTTTTCGGCTTTCATAATTCTTCCCTTCCTCATCCTGTACAATTTCTGATTCTGTTGCATATTCATCTGCTCAATCTTTTCTGAAGCGAAATATGTACTCGAGGTATGATTTCATTAAGGATCTTAATCCGTCGAAGGAGGAGTGGAGGATTAAGGTGAGGGTTATTAGGACTTGGAATGTTCCTAATTTTTAGCGAAATTTTTTTGACGACAACTTGGACATGGTTCTATTAGACGAGAAGGTAATATTTTTCGTTCTCTTAATTTTTTTTTGTTTATTTTTTTTACGACCCTTGTGTTAATGTATCTTTTTTGTAGGGTGGAAGGATACATGCTACTGTCAAAGGAACTCTGAATGTCCGTAAAAAAATTTGCGAAGGGGATGTCTATTTTATAAGAAATTTTGGAGGTGTGTTGAACAGTGATAATTTCAGGCCAACTAGACATGATTATCGTCTATCGTTCAACTTGAGGACCGATGTTAAATCGACTGAAGATGCTACTATTCCTGCTAATGGATTTAGTTTTGTTGATTTTGACGTGATAGAGAGGGAATCAGCTGACTCTCCTTATTTAGTAGGTAATGTGTTTGTCTGTGTTTACTGATGTATTTTATGTGTTAATGTCTTTGATAAGTGTTCAACTTCTCCTCTCTGTAGACGTCATCGGTTTGCTGTCAGGTATTGGAGACGTTCGTGAGCATGTTGTGTCTGCCAGAAAAACAAAAATGGTTGTTTTAGAACTTGATGACCTCAGGTATGTTTGTGTGATTATTATGAAGTATATTTTCAGATTAAATATTTTTTTATTTCTTCCAACTTTCGTGAAAATTGGGGTCACAAGCTCGAATGTACTTTGTGGGAGCAGCATATGGATAAAGTTCAGTCTTTGTTAGAAAAGAATGATTCTCCTCAAAACGTTGTGATCATCCAGCTTGCAAGGATGAAGGGTTTCAGGGGTATTTTCAATAATTTGTGCTTAATATATTTCATTTTTTTATTTTATGTGTGTTTTGAATCTCCGTTACTTACGTTTTCTTGATTGATTAGGTAAGATAGGGATAATAAATACAAAATATACGACGAGAATTCTATTTGATTCCAGTCTTCCTGAAATCGCGGAGTTCAAAAATAAGTGAGCATTTTGTTTACGTGCTTCGTTAAAAAAAAGGTAAAAAAAAACACACGCATCTTATTAAAACTGCGTTTCATTATGTGTGTGTGTATGTGTGTCTTCCATTAATTGTTGTTTTAACTTGCTATTTGGTGATTGTTTTGTTGTTGTGTTGCGTTTTAGGATGTCGTCTGATCCAATAGAGAGCAGTATGAGGTTGACTCAGTTGTCCAGCCAATCGTCGTATTCTTTTGAAAATGATTTTCTGAAAGACACAGAGAGAAAGTCTATTAGTGACATCAAGAATTGCAGTGAGATTACTACTTGCATTACTTATGGAACAATAAAATCAATTGAGTCGAAGTACAACTGGTGGTACTAGTCCTGCAAGAAATGCCCGTATTCTGTATGCGAGGATTTTGAAAAATGGTTTTGTAAGAATTGTCAAAAACACTGGGACGATTATTGTCCTAAGTAAGTATTAATTTATGAGTTTTTTTTAAGATGTAAAAAAATCACTGTGTTATGTACTTATTTGTTGACTGTTGTTTGTCGTGTGTGACAGGTTTAGTGTTCAAGTCAGAGTGGTAGATAACACGGATTATGCCTCTTTCATACTGTTTGATAAAGACTGTGTAGCTTTATTAGGAATGGGTGCTGCTGAAATACGGGAACAACATTTCAAGCGGGTTTTATACTTATTTCAAGCATTTTGTCATCCATTTGACAGTATTTGTACTTTGGAATTCCTTTCTGGTATGTTTTCTTTTTTATTTTTTTTCCATTTTTTCTGTAGGGTGCTGATTTGGGGGCTTTATCCAGAAGAACTTAACATTCTCAATGAGAAATCCATGTTGTTTAAGGTCAATGTGAAAAAAAAGCATTTAAACTCATTGAACGAGCCAAAATATCAAGTTTCAAGGGTTTGCACCAGCGAATCTATTATCCAGTCATTTTTTAAGTCTGTGATGGAGTTTAATGTATGTCGTTCTAAATTAAGATCTTTGATTTGTTGCATTTTTTATTTTTGTGTGTTTCTATTAACGAATGTATGTCGTTTGTTTATTTGGTTTGAATTTTTACGTTTAAAAAAAAAATAATGCAAGATGAGGCCCTGTTTGATAACACCGACGACAATGATGTTGTATCACAAGAATGTGGACGAGTTGCGGTAAATTAATAGAAACCATTGAATGAAGTTTGTGTCTGTTTCCATAGACATACGGTTGTGACATTTTTGACTTTTTTTTTACAGGATGTTGAGAGTCAAACCTGTGAGAGTACAGGAGATGCAAATGTGTCTCTCTCTCTGTTGTCACCCTCTTCGAATTTTAATAATAGTGTTGAAGACAAGTGTAATTCTTCTATTATCCGTCCTTGGAAAAAGATTAAACTGGAGAAAGCGTTAAGTGCTTGCCCGTAAATTCTCACTGTGTTCTGTACTTTAGTCATTTATATTGTAATCGTTATCGCATTAAACATTGACACGTGGGAAAAAATATTTTGGAATAGGTTTGATGGTGAAGCTGGAGACACAAAACCGGAGGAAGGAGATCCTTGACTTATTGCGAGTTGTATGTGCTGATACAACAGATAATTTGGTCGAAAGAATATTTTTGATTAAACTGTTTTGCAAAGTATTCAGATGCATGTTCATGACAGAAATGTTAATTTTCTGGACTTTTTGTTCAATTAGGTACAACAATATTTGAATGAATTATAATATTATTATATATTTGCTTATCTGGCTTGGATTTTGAATAATTAATCAACTTTTATGCTTCATAGTTCATGATAATGTGTTAAAATGTTGTTAACGTGATTTTCTATGTGATAACTTAATGAGTCGCTGTTATTGAATGCATTTGAAATTTTTAAAAAATGGTTGATGGACACATGGGATTCTGGAAAGCAACATGTGAGAGAGTTATAATACCATAAATTGTTGGATTAAATGGTAATTAATAGTTAGTGGAGTTTTTATTACTTATCGTTGAATTGAGATTGATTTAAAAATGAGAGAGTGTAGACTTGACAAGTATTATTGAAAATCCTCACTTTTTTTTAACAATTACATGCAATCCAAAGTGGCCAGAGATTTCAAGGTTTCTTAAGGCTAGAAACCTCAGCCCTGAAGACCGGCCCGATTTTCTGTGCAGAGTATTCAAATTAAAATTGGACCAATTGCTCCATGATTTAAGAAAGGAGCATGTTCTTGGTAGGGTGAACGCATGTATGTATATGGTAAAGTTGATAGTATTCTTTAGATATAATATTTTCTCATAATTAATTATAAGTTTTTTTAAATATGACAGATATTTGTACGATTGAGTTTCAAAAGCGTGGCCTCCCTCATGCTCACATCATACTGTTCTTGCACTCTTCTGGCAAGCCTAATAGTGGATCTGATATTGATAAATTAATTTCAGCGGAGATTCCTAATAAAGATACCAATCCCTCACTATTTATGGTTGTCAACAGTTACATGATGCATGGGCCCTGTGGTCCTGAGAATCACAAGTCTCCTTGCATGAAGGAGAGAAAATGTTCAAAGAAATTTCCCAAGATCTTTTCTTCCCGTACATTAATTGATGATGATGGCTTCGCTCATTATAGGAGACTAAACAATGGGAGGGTTGTGAACAAAAATGGTGCTGAGCTTGATAATCATTACGTTGTGCCATATAATGCAAAGCTTCTTTTAAAGTATCAAGCTTATATTAACGTTGAATATACTTGTCAGAGGAGTGCCATCAAATATCTTTTTAAATATATTCATAAGGGAAATGATCGAGTTATAGCTGCCATACATCATTCAAATTCAACTCATCATGGAACTCGCACAAACGATGAAATTAAAATGATTTATGATTGCAGGTACATTTATTCACGTCAATTGTCTTTTGTTGTCGTGCTAACTTTGTAAAATTTTATTTGTTTATTTCAGTTCATTGCTTTTTAAACAATAGTTATGTCTCTGCATGTGAAGCGGCATGGCGTATTTTTGGATTCGACATTCATTACAGATACCCTCCTGTTAAAAGATTGCCTTTCCACCTGCCCAATCAAAAGAGCGTTGTTTTCAATGATAGTGCTTCAATCTCTGATGTAAAGACAATGGCTGAGTCTAGAAGAACAATTTTCGAATCTTGGATGGAAGCAAATAAAAATTTTCCAGAAGGGAGGGATCTTACTTATGCAGAGTATCTAACTCATTTTGTTTACGTAGAAGACGCCCAAGAATGGCGTCCGAGAAAAAGAGTAATTCGAAGAATAAATCATTTCTCCTCAAATAATGGAGAAGATTCCTATCTTCGGGTCTTGCTTACTTATCAAAAGGGTTGTACAAGTTATGATGATTTGAGGATAATCAATGGCGTGCTTTTTCCGTCATTCAAGGATGCATGTTATTCTTTGGGACTGTTGGATGATGACAATGAGTACATTGATGCAATTAAGGAGGCAAATTTCTGCGCGTCTGCTTATTATCTTCGAAATCTTTTGCTCTATTGTTATTAAGTAACTCAATGACGAAACCTACAAATGTTTGGGATAAATGTTGGAATTTTCTGTCTGACGATGTTCTTTATAGGCATAGGACAAACACCGGACGTTAAGGTACGTGTTGTTTATTATTATTATTTGGTATTATATTTTAATTTATCTATCCGTGTTATCTTTCTCATTGTTGATTTGTTTTTTTTTTGTAAATCATTTTATTTGCTTATGTCAGTGCCTGTCATGAAATAAATCAGAAGTGCGCAATGGAAAAATGTGACCGTACATTCAAAAATTCAAAATATATTAACAATGATTTTTAAGTTGGATCATTTTTTTGTAGAGACTTGGAACATCATTTTGTCTTTCCATGTTATCTATCTGTTTGTTATTTTTTCTTTCTAACTCTTTAATGTGTGTTATCAGATGCGGTACTTGATGAAGAGTCTATAAAAAACACAACACTTGCTGAAATTGATAAGGTACTGCAAAGCAATGGAATGTGTCTCTCTGATTATCCAACAATGCCCCGCGTAATCAGTGAATCTTTGTTTGATATGCCAAATAGATTGGTGTTGGATGAATTATCATATGATAGATGTTCTTTGATGGAAGAGCATAAAAGACTTAATAGTTCTCTTAATGATGAGCAGAGAGTTGTTTATGAGAAGATCATTTCAGCTGTTTTAGCAGGTAAAGGGGGATTTTTTTCTTTATGGATATGGTGGTACAGGAAAAATATTCATCTGGAATACTCTTTCAGCTTTCGTTAGATCAAAAGGGAAAATCGTGCTAAATGTTGCTTCCAGTAGAATTGCTTCCCTTTTGCTTCCTGGAGGACGAACAACTCATTCTTGATTTCGTATTCCTATTCAGATCACTGAAGATTCAACCTGTAATATCAGGCAAAATTCTACTCTTTCGGAGTTGCTGTCAAAAACCAAATTAATCATTTGGGACGAAGCCCCAATTAAGGGTGGCAATTCGTGTTCATGGGTCGGGTTCGGGTCGACCTGTGTCTGACACGAACACGAATAGACTCAACCCGAACACGACACGATTAACAAATCGTGTTATAAAATTCAACCCGTACACGACCCATGTATAAACGGGTTGACACGATACAACCCGAATTTGAGGGCAATCTGTATTTTACACGGCACGACCCGACACGACACGACTCGTCACGACCCGACCCGACACGACTAAACAGAAAGTGATATTAATTCAAATCATATTAAAACTGTTCAATCTAATTCAAATCAAAATAACTTACTACATTGAACTCCATCAATCCAACATCAAAACATAATTAAATGCAACCTACAACAAATGTCTCATTGTTACAGCAACTTCTTCCACCAAAATACAAATTAAGATCACAAATTCAAGATCATTTAACTGATTAAAAATTTGAAATATAAAAGTCATTATGCAACTGAGTAATTTTGAGCGCCATGATCAGCTATTGAATGTAGATTCATGTCCATTATATCTTCTGTCAATTCTTCCAAAGCTATTGCTGAGTGCTCTATAAAAATAAAAATCAAACGAGTTAATTAAAATCCTTAAAATAAACAGTTAATGAATAAGTGATTGATAATGTATATTACCTTGCTCTCCATATAACCAATCTCTAGTGCAAATCAATGCTTCAACTATGTCAGGTTTGAGTGAACTTCGGTATTGATCAAGTACTCTTCCTCCAACACTAAAAGCACTTTCCGAAGCAACACTAGAAATAGGTATCCCAAAAATATCTCTTGCCATTGCAGCAACTTCTGGATACCTAAATTGATTAGCCTTCCAATATGATAACACATCCAAGCTAATATTTCTTCTGTCAATCCTTGGATCCTCTAAATATAATTCAAGCTAAGTCTTTTGTGGCACAACCACTTCATGAAAAGTATCAAATTCCTAACAATATTATAAAATAAATAATATCAATAAATATACAAAAGAATATAAACAATTACAAGACAAATAATTATGTTAACTTACACTCAAAACATCTCTAGATGTAGTAGAAATTGAGGTTTCATCAATTGTCTCACTCCCACCATCTCCAGCCCTACTTGTTGAAGAAATAGATGAATAGTTTCTGATTCCATCATGTGCATACTCATTAAACAAGGAAACCAATTTGTCTTTCACCTTTGTTGATTCGTTCACCCCATCATCACCATACAACTTATTGTAGCACCATTCAACAAAACTCATCTTATATCTAGGATCCAAAATGACAGCTATGGCTAAAATCATACTAAATTCAGACCAATATTTGTCAAATTTAGTGAACATCTTTTCAGCCATATTCACAATATAAGCATCATCACTTTTCAATCCTTTTTGTAATGTCAGATGTGCAGTAAAAACATAAGGAAAGTAAAGATTTGCAGTTGGATGCTTGGTTTTAGAGAAGATGCAAGTAATATCATAAAATACATGCAAGAACTCATTGATCTTTTCTATCCTGTCCCATTCATCTCTAGATGGACAATATTTATAGTTGGAATCACTTAACTCAAGGTGCATGAAGGCACGTTTATAGAAGAGTGCACTATCAAGCATGAGAAAAGTAGAATTCCATCTTGTTGGAACATCTTGCCTGCAACCTCTTCTAGATGCAAGAGAACTTTGAGCAACACACTGCAAAAATTTTTGTTTCCTTGCTTGTGACCCCTTCACATACTTAACACTCTCCCTAACTTTCACAATAGATGCATCAACCTCTTTCAATCCTTCTTGAACTATCAAATTTAATATGTGAGCACAACATCTCACATGAAAAAACTCACCATTGCATAAAAGTCCACCTCCAATCAACAGTTGATCTCTCAAAAATTGAACACAAACATCATTTGTAGAAGCATTATCCAATGTAATTGAAAAAAATTTCCCATCTAACCCCCAATCCTTCAAAAAGGTGTGAATTTTTTCAGCCAATGAGATTCCAGTATGTGGAGGTGGCATAAACCCAAAATTTAGAACTCTTTTATGCAGATGCCAACTCTTGTCAACAAAATGTGCAGTCAAACATATAAATCCATCAGTGTTTAAAGAAGTCCATAAATCAGATGTTAAACTAACTCTACTGGTATTCTCCTTTAACATATTCAAGCATCTATCTTTCTCCCTTTTATGCAACTTAACACTATCAGCCTTCACTGTGTTTCTAGTTATAATATTCAAATCCGCACGCAAATATAGAAGAAGAGCTCTAATGCCTTGCCATTCAGTAAATTGAAATGGCAAATCATGCATAATAATGGCAGCTATCAATAACTCCCTAAATTTCTCATGGTCAAATTTAGGCTCTAAACTGAAGGAGCTATTTTGAGTTGAAAGCATCATCTGCCCAACATCTCTAGTATCTCTTCTCACACATCCATCCAAATGTCGCTTTAAATTACCAGTGCCATATTTACTATCAGCCATGTATAATTGATCACAACACTTACATTTGGCTTGAATTTTACATCCATCCTTATTCATTGGAATGCGCTCGAAGTGTTGCCAAACCTTGGATACTAACTTTCTCGGTTTCTTTGTTGGCACCTTTGTGCCTGCTGACCCAGCTGTATTATCACCCTCAACATTTGCATCTTGAACATCAACCTCGTGATCCATCATATTCTCTCCACTGCTGTTGTGTGATTCAAAGTCCATCTACATGTAAAAAAGAAAAGTTAGAATATCTATTATATAAATGAGAAAGCAAAATCCAGAATTTACATATATTATATATGGATCACAAACTTAAAAAGTTTCATGCACAAACTATTCCAATGCAGTTCCAAAGACTAGTGTAAGCAATAACAACTTTAAATCCCGTGTGTCTCAAAAAACCAAATCAGGGAGGGAGAAAAAATGCACAAACACAAGCCACAAAGAGGAACAATAGAGACGAGAGTGATGAGCTGGAGAAAAAAAATATCGTGTGTGCCTCTGATACAAATACAATCTCAAGAAGAGAGCATCATGGATCTAAGAAAAATACAAAAAAATCTTTAGAAAGAAAGTAACTTCTGAATATTCTCTTACATCCTCTCAATACACATATCCTATTTATACAGATTTCACATAACTCCTATTTAACTATCTACAGCCAATGATATCTGATATTTGATTTCTGTTACAACTCTAACTAACTAACAAAACTTCTAACAGAGTTGTTGTTGTTACAAGGCCTTCAACTCCTAGTCCGTAGCAATTGCCTTCCCCTCCAAAGCGACCATGTCCTCAAGGTCAAGGAGAAAAAACAAATGGGGACTATAATTTCTCATCAAGTACATATATATATATATATATATATATATATCTGACAAGAATATATTATATAGTATCAAGATGTTATAACAAATAACAATCTAATGCCATGAAATTGGAGTTAGATACGCAGTCTATTTGTACCTGAAAAGCTCAGTCTGACCTGGTTGGACTTCAGTGTAATCTCTCAACTCAACCCAGCAGTTACAGTCAGATCCAGATACCTATCTTTGCTGGAGTATGACTTCATACATCTCTTACACTTGAAACAGACCTGTAGATTGTTGATCTGAAGTTTCAAATTATTTAGTAAATTACTATGAGCCAGGATTTCAGATACATACAGAAATTTAGCCTCATGCATATCTACCCAACTTACAAGTTAAGGCCAGAAGGTCCTTTTCTTATCAATGGTTCATAACACACTGGGCATGCGAAGATGTCCACACCTATTTCCTGATCCTGCTGTGTACTTAAATCCTGGAGGAAAAATTAATAATAACAATCCTAACATAAGTTGAGACTTTTGTATATGGCCTTAATATAAATTGATATTAACAAAACAGATATAACTAATAATAATAATCCACGCATGCATAGAACAACTAAAAGGGGGGAAACAAATTAGCAGAGGACCTTGTCTACCACACGGTAAATCACAACTTCAGGATGAAGCTAGATATGGTCAATCAAAGAAGAATCATACAAAGCTAATTTTTTTTTTCTCACCCTTTGATTCATTTCTACTTTTTCTGAATTGGGTAATCAAAAAGAAGGTAAGAGAAGAAAGAGTTAAAAAAAAAATTGACCACTATGCGCAATGGACGATACGGTCAACCTTGAGAGCAAACAAAAGAGTGAAGGAGAAGAGCAAGGTATGAGCTGTCAGAGCTTGGAGGGATTTGGCCACTCTTCGTTGTCATACAACTTCCAGTCGCGGGTTTCTAAGGAACAGAGACGAGATCGACCCCTGGAGGCGAGAGCAAAGAGACGAGACGGGCAGAGAGAGGCGACAGAGAGAGCTGCGCTGTTAAATGGAAACCCTAAAGGGCTAAGGCGTTTATTTTTTCCTTTTATACCACGGAATAATTAGTATAATAAGTAATAACTTTAAATTGAACCAGATTTTTCACGGGTCAAATGGGTTCACGGGTTGACCCGTGACCCGACACGATTTTTTTCGTGTCACTATTTTCCAACCCTAACACGACCCATTTACTAAACGGGTTGACCCATACACGAAATTTTCGTGTCGGGTCCGGGTCGGGTTCGCGGGTCGTGTCACAAATTGCCACCCCTAGCCCCAATGGTACACAGATTTTGCTTTGAGGCTTTGGACAAAACAGTAAGGGATATTCTGATACCGATTGTTTTGATAAGCCATTTGGTGGAAAGGTCGTTGTTCTGGGAGGTGACTTTCGACAGATATTGCCAATTATTCTTCATGGCAGTAGACAGGACATAGTCCATGCAACCATCAATTCTTCATATCTTTGGATGCATTGTCATTTACTAAATTTGACCAAGAATATGCGTCTTAATTCTGGAAGTGGCGTTCATAATTTAGTGGAAATAAAAAATTTCTCTTATTGGCTTCTTAAAGTAGGGGATGGTGACATTGGAGATAGTGTTGATGGAGAATCTCTCATAGCAATTCCACCTGAATTATTGATTGGGGAATCTGAAGATCCACTCTCGGATATGGTTGATTTTGTGTACCCGAATATCTTGGATCATATTTTAGATCCTGCTTTCTTCAAAGAACGTGCAATTTTAACTCCTAGATTGGAAGATGTTTCCATCTTAAACGAGCGCCTAAAGTCTTTGATTCCAGGAGAGGAAAAAACATATTTGAGTTCAGATAATGTGCTGAAGCAGGATGCTAATTCTCAACTTGAGGACAACGCATTCTCACCTGATATTTTAAATACCTTCTCATGCTCGGGTCTTCCTGAACATAAATTAACTCTGAAGGTTAATGTGCCAGTTATGCTGTTGAGAAATATTGATCAGTCAAGAGGTTTATACAATGGCACAAGACTGCTCATTTCAAGATTGGGTAGTCATGTTGTTGAGGCATCTGTTCTTACAGGTAGCAATATAGGTGAGAGTGTTTTGATCCCTAGAATGACGATGAGCCCATCCAATCATACATTTCCTGTATATTTTCAAAGAAGACAATTCCCTTTGACTGTTTCATTTGTCATGACTATCAACAAGAGTCAAGGACAATCTCTTTCTCATGTTGGCATTTATCTCCCTAGACCTGTCTTCACTCATGGACAATTATGTGTGGTACTATCTAGAGTAAAGAGCAAACAGGGATTGAAGATATTGATACTTGATGATAATGGTTGTGTTACAGAGAACACCTTTAACATTGTCTACAAGGAAGTATTTCAGAAATTGGTGTAGTTCTTTTTGTCCACTGTAAGATTAGATTTATTTCATTCTATTTCTTCTGCATCTTAAAATATAAGTGTTATGTGTTTAATGACCAGTATATAAATAATCCAAGTGTTTGACTAATTTGTTTAATGCGATCTATAAATTTTTTTATTCATTGCTTACTATATTAATTTGAAATTTCTATTCTCAAATAGTGTTCATCCAATATAATTTATGGTTGTTTTGTTTTTGGTTTTTGTAGGTTGTTGGACGTGTTCTTTTTGCCCGAGGAATGCAAGATAGAAAAAAAAAAGCTAAAATTTATTGGTCGCATTGACTATTGTGCATTGTCCTGGATTCTGTAGCATTTTTGACTTCATTCAATAAGATGGCAAGTTGTTATTTTCAAAGTTCTGCGTGCATGCTGTAGTTTTTTCAAGTACAAAAATACCACAAAATAGCACGATAATTTTTTTCTATTTCAGATATGTCTCAAGTAACAGGTATGCTTTTTTGTGTTTTTTGTTCTTTTATATTTATAACTTTATGTTTACATCTCCAGCATATTATAATTCAGAGCTTCACGCTACGATGAAGGTGTTGATTTACAAACAGCGATGATTAACCAACGACGGCCGACAACAATTTCGTTCTTTTTTCCCCGGGCATCGCACGGGTAATTCACTAGTACTCAATATAAAGTAACAACAAACCATCTAAATGCAAACAAATAATAAGAAACATGTATAGTATGGTTCTTTTTGTGTTTTACCTTTTTTATTTTTTTATCTTGTATATTTGTTTTTTTCCTGCTTTATTCTAATCAGTTATGTTATTTACTCTTACTCGTATTGTTTTAAAAAAGAAAGACTTCTAAACTTAATCACAAAAATGATTAGTTGACCTATTCTAAAATTTGGGTCCAACTAAACCAAATAAACCCATTTAAAAGAAGGAAAAAGGGTTTCTCCTTTTAAAGGACACAAGGTTGTATCTTTTTAGTTTTTGACACTATATTTTACTGGTAAAACATAGTTATAATATGAAAAAAAAAAATTTCCCTATTTTCGAGAAAATAATAATTTTTCATGTTATAACTATGTCTTACCGGTAAGACATAATGTTAAAAACTAAAAGGACACAATTTGTATCCTTTAAAAGGACAAACACTGAACCCTTGAAAGTAACAATCATGAAACCAAATGAATAACAGGACTATAATTATGAAATATTAAGGTCCATTAACTATTGTGTTTTGGGTTATTGCACATACAAAGAATAGTCAAAAATATAATTCTTAAATGTGAGAACTTTTCATCGTGCTTATGGCTGTTGCAAATACGTGTTATGTTCTTTAACGTGAGATATTGAAAATTTAAGAAATAGAGATAACGAAAGAGGAGACGAAGGACAATGCTTATTATACATATAATTATTATATTTGTGTGTTTTCATATTCTTAGGATAATGTTTGATTCATTATTTATTATGTTGTGGAAGGAAAGTAAATTTCTTATGTTTAAAATGTTTACCGAAAAGGTTGGTGCATTTTTATATATTTGTTTTGATATATAATCAACGACACTTGTTCATTTGAATTTTTAATATTATGTGACATTATTTAGTACATAATTTAGATAACTATGTTAGAATTCATAGTAAATTTTTTTCTTAATAAATTTGTGTAATTACTATAAATATTTTAATAATTTGATATGTCAAATTTTTTAACATCACCTAAATTTTTGGGCTGACTCCGCCACTGGTTTCTTGCCAAATTAGCAAGCATAATTCAACTGTGTAACGAGTTATGTCGCATGATATTCTAATAAATATTTTGCTGAAGCGTAATAAAATGATCACTCTTCTTCCAAACAGCAATACGCTGGTGACGGTGACAGACAGATTAAGATAATAGTGACTCTTGCTTCAATATCAGGTAGGAATTCGCTGCCTCTGCAGCAATCCTCGGAATTTGTATCACTTGAAGTACTATCTCCATTTGCACAAACTTCAGTCTTCTTGAGGATTATGATTGATTCTTTGCCTCTCATGTTTTGCTGTTCTAGCTCCGTTACACATTCTTTAACGGAATTGATAGCTTCACGAAGGATATTAGTCTTGTCCGTCTAAACATTAATTATACGAAGGAATAAATAAAAATTATGTTATAAAAAAAATAATTTGATTATGTTAAGATAAGACAAAATAAAATCAATGAAGGGATAAATAAGAGTCTTAGACTTGTCCCTTCACATGTTCGCAGTTCGTTGCATCCAAGTTTATTTATAAATTTAGAAAAAAAATTATTAAACTAAATTATCTGTTTACTTGAACAAAAAATTAAAAAACATAAACCGCATTGTTCAATGCGAAGAGTGATCAATAACATATTTTTATGTAATCCTTGCGAGTTATGAGACAGACCAACGTAACCGTACAGATACAGGGAGTCATTCCCCTTTGGTATAAAATATTCCGCAGCACGTCCCCAACTTCCCACTTAACTCGCGATTCTAGCAGCGTCACGTGCAATGTTCTATGCATTTTCGGATTATTATTTTTTTTTTTTTGGAAATACAAGGAAAGAAAAAGTTTGCTTTCAAAGTAATTAAGAAATAGCATATTCAACTTTATTTAAATTAAAGTATATTATAATTTTAATTTATCAAAATTTAAGAATAAATTATATTTTACTTGGAAAAAGTTTTTTTTTTTATAATAACTTGGAAAAAGTATTTATCTTTTTAAATGACACAACTTATATCTTTTCACTCTTACAAAGAGGTGAGACTTACACTTTTATATTTTTTTGTCCACTCTTTCTTCTCCTTTATTTATCTCTTTCTCTCACTTAAAATAATACAATTTTACATCCTTTAAAATGATATACATTTTTCTTATTTTACTTATTTATTTAGAAACCAAAAAAAACCTTATTCGTATGTACTATACTCTGTCCGGTTATCTGGATTCTGGCATATATCATTCTCATATCTGATATTGTTATTTTAATTATTATTTTCGCTTTATTCTACTCTCTCTTTTTTATTTTTTGGAAAAACTTTATAAACTTTCCAATAACTTTCTTTACAATCATTTATCCTCTTCCCAAAATTTTGAATCATTATCCCCTGACTTAAAGTTTTTTTATAATTTAGCCCTCTAAATAAGGGAGGTAAATGATAAAGAAACTTTAAATCAAGGGTAAGTAACAAAAAAAATCTAAATAAGAATATAAATGATTCAATAAATTTGTGAAGGGATAAAAGATAATTCAAAAAACTCATAAGGATTTTTTTGTAATTTTCCCTTAAGGCCGTTTGTTACAAGGATTTTTTAAAATTTAGGGCCGTTTGTTACAAGGATTTTGTAAACTTTAGGGCCGTTTGTTACAAAGATTTTTTAGGATTCCCGAAAAATTGAAAGTGGTAATTTATTTATTCACGTTTGGTACAAGATTTTTAAAAAAATTTCGAGAATCTAATTTTCCCAGGATTTTATTTTGAGTGCACTTTTTTTTGAAAAAACCATCCAGAAATACCATCCAGGAGGTGGTATTTTAGGATTTTTATGGCCAGGAAAAATTTAATACAATTAAACATAGCATCAAGAAAATTAACGCAATATTTCCGAGAATATGTTAGTCTACCAAACAACTTTTTGGTAATATTCTCAGAAAACTTATTCTCTCATCATATTCCATAAAATTATATTTCTGAATAAAAAAAATTTCTCTTCTACCAAACGCCCATTTATTTTTTTATCCTCTGGCTTTTGTCTTGGAAATGTCAAGACCCCATTGTCATCGCTGCAGCGCTGGTAATCGATATGATGCTTATCAAGAATTAATCAAATGACATCAAGTACGAAACTAATAATACATATAAAAAATTATTCATTTTAAAGGAAAAGAATTAAAAAACTATTAGAACATAACCCCTATACAGTATTTCAAAAATGATGTATAAGATGAAAGCCTAATCTTATTGGGTTATTTAATTGAGACGATTCAAAGGAAATGGATATAAATAGAGAAAATTATAGATTTATTGTTTTAAGATTTTGGGTTATGACATAATATCGTACTCAATATAATTGGGCTAGTTTAGCCTATTAGTGATAGTTCCCCTCCATAAGTTTTTTCTGGCTTGTCTGATAGTGGTATCAGAGTCGGATTGAGTTCGAGCTAGCCATGTGTTTGATTAAAGGCGGGTTGAATATTTGAACCTAGGGAACTCAGTTGAGGGGAAGAATACCAATGTTGAGTTTCATATTTGACGGGGCAATTATTGGATTATTTAAATATGATGAGGCTCACATGGTTGGTAATTGGCTAAGTGAAGTGGATATAAGTGGAGCGATCCATAAATCTAATATCTTAAAGTTTTGAATTGTGACATAGTATTATACCCACTTAATATAGTTGGGCTAGCTTAACTCATTAGTGATAGTTTCCCACCCTCCCACACACTTTCCCTGGACCCTTTTGACAAACCTAAGAAACAATATACATTCAAATTGAATGCATTCCAATCTTATTACTTAATTAACCTATGGGCATATTTAGTGCACAGTACAAATTAAATTTTAATATTATCTAGCATTTGGCATGATATTGTATAAGATAATATGATCTACTGTGAAATAATGTACGATACAATACTAAATAGGTTAAAAATGAATATTTTTTTAATAAAAATACCCTTTAATAAAGAAATTATGTCCGGAGTAACGAGCTCTCTACGCACACTGATTAGTGTGTCCAAGACATATATTAATTTTTATAAAAATAAAAATTTCCAATCTTTTAAAAAGTAATATATTAAAAAAAATTATTTTAATATATTTAATATTGAAATTGTTATGGACATGAGAAAGACCTATATTCTAGAAGCTCCAATAAAGGACAGTACAAACAAAAAGAGAATATTCTATTAATGACGATCCTATCCGGACAACTAAGCAGCCCACCTTCTAGAAGACCCAAATAGGGCTAACAACTAAGAGGGAATTAAGGAGATATT